ACTCCTGGGAGGGGCAGGGTGAGGTAAGCGGGGCCAGCCAGGAGTGGGATTTGGGGGTTCTCCAAACTGCACAGAATCTTAGCTAGAGGTTCTCCCGAACCCTTACGAACCCCCAGCAGTCCACTCCTGCCGATGGCTGTAGAAACACAAAAGGGCCAAGGAAGGGAAATGCTCCCTTTAAACCCCGTGGCTGAAAGTTGGGGTGCATGTAAAGGAGATGAAATGGTTCCAGACCCATAACTCAGCCCATCTTATTGTCTCTTCATGAAAGAAATCTGGATGGCCAACCAGAGAGAAAGTCCATGCAATTTTCCCTATCAAGTCAAGAAATTGCTCCAATTCTTGGCTCCTCCAATAACCAAAGACTGATAGAAGATAATATTTGTAGCTCGTCAACCTTTCGGACCTCAGGGACCACTAAATTCATAATTTTAAATCATGCGGACCACTAATATGTCTAATGATCGGCTGGGTGGGCGTGGCTAGATGGTCATGTGACTGGGTGGGCGTGGCCAACTCAATGTCACTCATGTCAAGGGGCACCTCGCCAGCCTCTACTCGCCCCTCCCCTCCCAGCCAATCCTCGCCTCCTCGCCCGGGCTGCTTACGGCCCCAACAGGAAGCAATTGTTGGAGCTAAGCAGCTAAGAGTTGGCAAAAACAGCTGGCTCAGTTCAAATTGGATCTGACCAAGAAGGAGGCTCAGCAGAAGGACCTCACTGAGGACTAGGAGCATAGGCTTCCAAGCAGAGGGAAGTCCTGCGGGAGTGCAAGGCCACGTGCCTCCAACAAAAAGACCTCAAAGGGGGAGACTCTCTGCAGCAACACAAATGCTCATTGCATGTATCCGTCCCAGGGGCTGTAGTTTGAGGATCCCTGATTTAGTGCAGTATAAGAAATGCAAAAGTGACGCAATTGCTCAGTGGCTAAGACGCTGAGCTTGTCAATCGAAAGGCAGTTCAGCGGTTCGAATCCCTAGTGCCGCATGATGGGGTGAGCTCCTGTTACTTGTCCCAGCTTCTGCCAACCTAGCAGTTCGAAAGCACGTAAACATATGCAAGTAGAAAAATAGGGAACCACCTTTGGTGGGAATGTAACAGAGTTCCCTGCGCCTTTGGCGTTGAGTCATGCCGGCCACATGAGCACGGAGATTGCTGGCTCTTTGGCTTTGAAATGGAGATGAGCACCGCCCCCTAGAGTCGGGAACGACTAACACATATGTGCGAGGGGAACCTTTACCTTGAGAGAGAGCATAAAGCTTTATCGTTAAGAAATGCAAATAATTTTTCCCCGGACCACCAAAATTTTCTCATGGACCACTGCACAGACCACCAGTTGGTGACCACAGCTAATCCCCACGGATTCATCTCCTTGGCATTTTATTTCTTTACAAAAAGGGAGGCAGGAAAAAGGTTTAGGTTGTTTTTCAAAAAAAAAATAAAACTACTAGGAAAAAGCTTCCATAAATTAACTACGGCTGACCTCTGGTGGACAAAGGCAGCATTTTGGCCTGAACGGTTGCAGCCGGATTAAATTAAACCAGCTGGACACCTTCATTTTTGAGCAATTTAAGTGGGCCTGTACAATACAGGGAAGTCCTCAACTTAGGACCACCCACAATGAGGGACAGAATTTCAAGTCGTTACGTTGAGGACCCAGTTTGTGGGGGCAATAAGCTGACTTTGTATAAATATACAAAAGTATGAAGGCTATTGCTTAACGCACTGTAAGCCGCCCTGAGTCTCCGGAGAAGGGCGGCATATAAATCAAATAAAAAAATAATTGAGTCACATCCAATTTTACAACTTTTGGCGGCCACGGTTTGTTGTTTTCCCATCGATTGTGCTTGTTGGAAGCTGGCTGGGAAAGTTACAGATGTGATTTCAGGATGCTACAACTGTAACATAGACATTCCAGTTGCCAAGCATTTGAATTTTGATTTAAGGGACCATGGGGGGATGCAGCGATGGTCACAAGGGTGAGGACCAGTTAGTTGTTAAGTCACTTTTTTTTTCAGTGTTGCTGCAACCCGTTACTAAATGAAGGTTGTAAATTGAGGTCTAAATGTCCCAGAATGGACAGCAACTAGTTTGGGTTTAGAGCTAGACTGGGAAAAACGAAATAAATTCCGGACAAAGGAAATGGTTCAAAACTCAGAATAACAAAGAGTCGGACGGGATCTTGGAGGTCTTCTAGTCCAACCTATAACATTTCAGACAAATGGTTGTCCAATCTCCTTAAAAATTTCAGTGTTGGAGCATTCACAACTTCTGAAGACAAGTTGTTCCACTGATGAATTGTCAGGAAATTCCTCCTTAGTTCTAAGTTGCTTCTCTCCTTGATGAGTTTCCACCCATTGTTTCTTGTCCTGCCCTCAGGTGCTTTGGACAATAGCTTGACTCCCTCTTCTTTGGGGCAGCCCCTGAGATACTGGAACACTATCATGTCTCCCCTAGTCCTTTTCATCAAACTAGACATAATTCTAACCACTTTTAGCCTCCAGTCCCCCTAAATTATTGTATTTTTAAGAGTATTTTAAACCTCCACCTCAAGGTTGTTCCTATTTGTAGCTACACAGAAATAAGCAGCAAATTTCTAAAATCCCAAAGCTTTAGATTCTATTTAACCATCTTGCATATTGATGCATTACGAGTTAAGTATCGATCTAGCACTAAAAGACTAAAAAAATTCTATCGATGTGGGTAGAAATGACCCAGTTCTGAGTACAAAGAAAAGATGATGTGGTGACTTTCATTAGCATTTGTTTGTTCCCGCTTTGAACTTCCTTGGATCCCATGTGAAAAAATTCCATTTCAAACCAAAAGCAGAGATAAGTGTCTCTTGCCATTAAATTTGAATGTCACCAAAACAAAGAGGTTTTGAGGGGCGTAGGACAGTTAAATCTACGGCTCTTTATTTCTCTAATTTGGGGCATGCCATGAAATCCCCATTCATATGTTCATCTCATCTTGGATAGATTCTGTATTACAATTCCAATTATTGTAATCCCACATTTAATGTTTTTTAAACATTCAGAAACCTTCATTGGAAATCCAGGCCAAAACTGGTTAATTAATTTGCTTTATTATACACCTAATCAATAAGCTTATTTCAGACTAGCACAAAAGGGAATAGAAAACCTTCTCAACAAAATGTGCAAACTTAAATTTATTCTCCCACTGACCAGAGTCCAGTGAAACCAAGCAATTTCCTGTTCAAAAACTGGGCAGGCTGATCCCTCTCACCTTATCTAGGTTTGGAAATTCTACCCAAACCAGGCACTATGGAGGTTTATCTCCAGCCCGAAATCTCCTTAGTACCATGGCCTTTTCCGATATATAATCACGTAGGTTATAGAGCCAAGCATCTTCTCCTATTTGTCATCACAATCTAGATCTGTTTGTCAAAGCTTGGAGTTTGAACCTATGCAGACTTCGACTTCCAGATTCTTCTGGACAGTATGGATTCACAAGCTGGTTGGCCGGGGGATTCTGAGAGTAAAGCCCATACAAGTTCCAGCTGTCTTATCTTTGAGAAACACAGATCTAGATTTATGGAGATTCTCAGCCATCCAGGTCATGGTTGTCCCGAAGATGCTTTATTGTTTCAAGAGGCAACTGGACTTTCTGGTTTTTCTTTGAAGACATTTCGCTTCTCATCCAAGAAGCTTCCGAAGAAGCTTCTTGGATGAGAAGCTTCAAAGAAAGTCTTCCAACGAAAAACCAAGAAAGTCCAATTGCCTCTTGAAATAAAAAAGCACCTTGGAGAGACACGGATCTAGATTGATATCACTCATTCAACATCAGGGGTAGAACTTTCCTTAAAGGAGCCCAAAGTAAGGTTTTGTTTTTTTTTAAAAAAAGAGCAGAACACAAGCTCCACATTGCCAATTAAATAAGTTTTATTGGGATTGGAGTTACATGTTCACTTGTTCCTTATACAGTACCCATACCGGTAAAGTGCAATGTTTGCTCCCCTTTTCCCTGTGCACATATTCAAAGTATCAAGAATGCCCTTGTCACGGTCATCAGTCCTTCAAGTTCTGAAGGTGGCCCCCATGGAGTGCCAACGTCTTCAGTCAACCTCCTCAATGGTTGGTCCAGATGATGCTCCTCCGGAGGGGGGTGCGCCACCCCCAGGGAAGCTGCCAGGCATGCCACCGGGCATCCCTCCAGCGCTCTGGTATAGCTTGGTTATGATGGGATTGCAGACCTTCTCAAGTTCTTTCTGCTGGTGCTCAAATTCTTCCTTCTCAGCCGTCTAAAGATGCAGGGGAGGGAAGGGGGAGAAATGTGTTAAAACCTCAAGGAAGGACTAGAATAACCTTGTGTGAACTTGTGATTCTGAAAGATATTTTAAAACCCCAGGAAGCTCTCTCTTAAGTACCAGCAAACTATCTATCTTAATTAGCGATGCCCCCTTGTTGCTGGGTCTAAAAAAGGTAATATAATACTAATACTACTACTACTACTACTAATTATTTTATTTCTATTCAGCCTATTTAAAAACACAAGACAAAACATCGACTAAAAATTTAAAATAATTTGGCTCAATTTAAAACCCCACAAATTTAAAATACCCCAATTTAAAATTATGATGTTGATAGCCCAGCCTGGCAGAACAACAGGGTCTTCAGTGTGCAGCGAAACCCCCGGAGGTTGGAGATCTTACATATTTCCGGGGGCAGTTCTTTCCACAGGGCTGGGGCTCCCACAGAGAAGGCCCTCCCCCTGGGTGTCGCCAGCCGACATAACTTGGCTGATGGCACCCTGAGACCACCCTCTCTGTGGGAGCGAACTGGCCGGTGGGAGGCTATTGGTGGCAGAAGACGGTCTCGAAGGTACCAACACCTTGAATCGCACCCGGAAGACCACTGGGAGCCAGTGCTCCCTTATATTACAATATAATGTTACAACTTTTCTTGAGGGAGAGGCCAGCTCCAAAATTCAGTCGTTTTCAACTTAATTGGAAATATATGATGCTATAGAACTGCAAAAAGGGTCGCTCAGACATCCAAGGAAGGTGTTATGGCCAACATAGGTCTTTTCAAACCTTCTGGTGGAAACTACGAATGGTTTTGGAACCTTCATCCTTGCGACCCCTGGAAGTTATCCTTTCCTTTGACAGCTGCGTCATTTGCGATGCTGATAAACCTCTGCAAAGGTTTGCCACAAACCTGATTTTTATCCAGCCAGTTGATGATCTCGTTGCATTTGTCCAAGATCTTCTGCTTGTCGTCGTCATTGATCTTCCCTTGCAGCTTCTCGTCTTCCACGGTTGCTTTCATGTTGAAAGCGTAGGATTCCAGGGAGTTCTTGGACGACACCTTGTCTCTCTGCTTCTCGTCCTCAGCCTTGTACTTCTCAGCTTCTTGGACCATGCGCTCAATGTCTTCCTTGCTGAGGCGACCTATGGAAAAGATGAGGATCCTTATTAATTTCCCTCCATGCCAAACACCTAATATAATAAGTCCAATTTGCGGTACTGTTTGAAACAAAGCCGTTCCTGAGTATTTGAATAGGAATGGCGGACATGCCAAGAGCTAACTTGTTAAATCAAGTAGTTTTATTCATGCTATCCAGTTTTGGCTGGATGAGGGGTTCAAGGATAAGCTTTCAAAGGCCCACTGAATATGTCAGTGGCAAATAAAATACAGATAGTCCTTGTACCAGGCCTGGAAGCCCTTCTTTCGTTGGGGGGTGTTACTTGGAACCCTGACACCTTGACTTACAACAGTTCATTGAGTGACCATTCAAAGTTACAACGGGCATAGAAAAGTGACTTGCAGCCATTTTTCAATGGTGGTGAAAAATGGCTGCAAGCAATGAAGTGGAAGGGACCTTGGAGGTCTTCCAGTCCAGCCCACTGCTCAAGCAGAACCTATACCATTTCAGATAATTTAGCATCTTTTTCATATCTTGCTCGTATCTGCATATACATATACCAATCTGTCTCAATCCCGTTCTTCCAGGTCTCATTTCTCTTTCAATTCCCTTATCTGTTAATAAATCCTTATCTCTAACAATATTTCCAAAATTAAAAACATTTGGGTGTATTAAAGCTTTCATTGTTGATAACCATGGTGGTATTTTCACATAATATTTATCTCTAACCTTTTCCCATACCAGTAACAATGCATTTCTTATATAATGTCTATTGAAGTATGTATCTTATTTCTACCATACCACAAAAAAAGCATGCTATCCCAGATCATGCCCTTTCCAATGTTAAAAACCTTGTATTTCTTAATTCAATTCATCCCTTCAACCATGTCAATGTTGCTGCTTGATAATATAGTATATGGATATGCAGATACGAACAAGATATGAAAAAGATGCTAAATTATATGGTTTTTATTTGGAAAAGACCATTTCAGATAATGTGACTTGTCTCCAAAAGTAAAAGGTTCCCCTCGCACATATGTGCTAGTCGTTCCTGACTCTAGGGGGCGGTGCTCATCTCCGTTTCAAATCCGAAGAGCCAGCGCTGTCCAAAGACGTCTCCGTGGTCATGTGGCCGGCATGACTCAACGCCAAAGGCGCACAGAATGCTGTCACCTTCCCACCAAAGGTGGTCCCTATTTTATCTACTTGCATTTTTTATGTGCTTTCGAACTGCTAGGTTGGCAGAAGCTGGGACATGTTAACGGGAGCTCACGCCGTCTGGAGGCCTCTTTATGGAGCACTCACCTTTGTCATTGGTGATGGTGATTTTGTTCTCTTTGCCTGTGCTCTTATCGACAGCCGAAACGTTGAGGATGCCATTGGCATCAATATCAAAGGTGACTTCAATCTGAGGGACGCCCCTTGGAGCTGGAGGAATGCCCGTCAGTTCAAACTTGCCCAGCAAGTTGTTGTCCTTGGTCATTGCTCTCTCCCCCTCGTACACCTGAAGAAGGCAAGCAGAAAACAGAAAATGCTTAGGCAGGCCTGAGCTAGAATTCCCAATTGTGGGAAATTTCCACACTTATGAAAAAAGCCTTTTGTCCTCATTTTTGAAGTCTGTAGCCAGACGGGTGGGAGGAAGACAGACGTTGTAAGTCCATCTTACTAGAAATATCTATTAATAAGCTGCCTCTCCAAGTTCCCAGAGTTCTTAGTGCTTAAAAAGCTGCAGCCCCGGAAGAAAAAAATAATCAGGGGCCTTTTGAGCCAGGGAATTGGTCGCTCAGACATCCAAGGAAGGTAATTTAAGCCAACACTGGTTTTTTTCAACCTCTGGTGGAAACTACGAATGGTTTTGGAACCTTCATCATTGCGACCAAATCCTTGCTCTGTGCGCCCCCCACTTGGCGAAGCTCCAAGTTTGCCTCTTAAAAGCACATTTCAGCAATCACGATAAACCAATTCTCCCTGACCACCATCACAAGACCCCCCCCCCCAATTTTCTGTAGGTTTCACCTACCTGAATCAGCACCCCTGGCTGGTTATCGGAATAGGTGGTGAATGTCTGAGTTTGCTTGGTAGGGATTGTGGTGTTGCGTTTGATCAAGACTGTCATGACACCGCCAGCTGTCTCGATACCCAGGGAGAGAGGAGTCACATCCAGCAACAACAGGTCTTGCACGTTTTCGGATTTGTCCCCGGAGAGAATGGCAGCTTGAACGGCTAAGGAAATTAAGAGATTAACATACGTGAGAATATCATCCGAAATGTCCCTAGTTATCCAGAGACAACTTTGCTTGTGCGCATAAGGCTTTTCGTCATTATTAAACCCTAGTTGAAGCCATGAAGGATTTTAAGAATTCCTTTGGATAATAAGCTAATACAGGGGTGGGCAATTGTGGCCCTTTTACAACCCGTGGAGACTTCAACTCCCAGAATTCCTGAGACAGCCAAGCTGGCTCAGGAATTCTGGGAGTTGAAGTCCACAGGTTGTAAAAGGGCCAGTTGCCTACCTGAGCTGATAGAAATTACATTCATAGATCGGTACAAGATTTTACCGTATTTTCCGTGTATAAGACCTCCCTCCCCCCATGTTTCATGTAGTTTCTTGTAGTAAGCACACTACAAGCCATCACTTGTTAAGAGTAATATAACAGGAACAGGAAATGCACCACAGGAACAACAGAGATGAAACCTAGAGTGGCAATGTGATACCGGAAACAACTACAATAGAGGGAAATCATATAGAGCTGCATGTAAGATAGGGGCTCATTGGGCATGTGCGGCCCTTCTCCTTGTCCTCCTGTAAGACACACCTCAATTAAAGTAAACTTTAAATTAAATGTTTACTTTAAAAGTAAACATTTTAAAGAAAAAGTAGCATCTTGTACATAGGAAAATACGGTATCTAGTATTAAGGGAGCTGTGTTAATGCAGCAGCCACCAACTCTAAAACTTTTGACCGTTCCTGAACGGCAAGATGGAATACCTGCTCCGTAGGCTACGGCTTCATCGGGGTTGATGCTCTTGTTGAGTTCTTTGCCGTTGAAGAAATCCTGAAGGAGTTTCTGGATCTTGGGAATTCGGGTGGAGCCACCAACCAGCACGATGTCGTGCACCTGAGATTTATCTAGCTTGGCGTCCCGCAGCGCCTTCTCCACGGGATCCAGCGTGCCGCGGAACAGGTCAGCGTTCAGCTCTTCGAAGCGCGCCCGGGTGATGGACGTGTAGAAATCGATGCCCTCGTACAGGGAGTCGATCTCAATGCTAGCCTGGGTGCTGGAGGACAGGGTGCGCTTGGCCCGCTCGCAGGCGGTGCGCAGGCGGCGGACGGCCCGCTTGTTTTCGCTGATGTCCTTCTTGTGCTTCCGCTTGAACTCGGTGATGAAATGGTTGACCATGCGGTTGTCGAAGTCTTCGCCCCCCAGGTGGGTGTCTCCCGCCGTCGACTTCACTTCGAAGATGCCGTCTTCGATCGTCAGGATGGAGACGTCGAAAGTGCCGCCGCCCAGATCGAAGATCAGCACGTTCCTCTCGGCACCGACCTGGGGGTAAAGGAAAAGGAAACCGTCAAAACCTGACACGGAACGTGGCTGAGGTAATCTTCATGGTTGCCACAAGAGGGGGAGGAGGGGGAAATTAAATAGCTCAGCTTGGCCCGTCAAAACAGGAAGTTCCTGTGGGAACCAAGGTCATTTCAGCAGGAGGAGGAGGGTAACCAAGCAACCAGCCAGCACCTCTATTGGACAATGTGACTGATGATTTGGGAGAAATTTTTTAATTAGGTGAAAACTGCAAAACTTTCAAGAGCTGGGTTTTCACCAGTTGTGCCAATATGATGCATCCAATAAATAGTTTTTTGACAATTTATTTTGTTTTTTGACGGAGTTCTGCTTTCAATGGGTGGAATACTTGGAATGCTGACGGGAACATGGGTCAATGGAAAAACCCAAGCCAGATCCCCCCCAAAAGGGATTTATATTTCCCCAATACGCACGCACAGAGAGGGCCTCCTCAGGGTGCCGTCCGCCAGACAATGTCGGCTGGCGACCCCCAGGGGGAGAGCCTTCTCTGTGGCAGCGCCCGCCCTCTGGAACAACCTCCCCCCAGAGATACGTACAATACCAGACCTCCGGACTTTTCGTCGGGCCCTGAAAACTTATTTATTTCACTTAGCCGGGCTGGCTTGATCCCAGTGTTTTGGTTAAATTTAATTGATTTTAATTGGGTTGTTTTAAATTGCGGCCAAAATATTTAATTATTTTTAAACTGTTTTTAAATTTTGTTACGTTCTGTTTTATTCTGGCTGTTCACCGCCCTGAGTCCTGCTGGAGAAGGGCGGTATACAAATTAAAAACAAATAAATAAATAAAATATCCTCTGCATTTAAGATTTCCCAACCTTTAGCTTCAACCACTCACTTTTTTGTCCAAGCCGTAAGCAATCGCAGCTGCGGTTGGCTCATTGATAATTCGGAGTACGTTGAGACCAGCAATGGTTCCGGCATCTTTTGTAGCTTGGCGCTGGGAGTCATTGAAATAAGCTGGAACTGTGACCACAGCATTTGTAACAGTCTGGAGAGGGTGGGAAAAAAAAAAGTAAGTTATAAGAGCGGGGGAAAGCGCTTGAGGTAGTGTATCTCAACTTCAACAACTTCTTAAGAGGTGTAGACTTCAAACTTCCTGGCTGAGGAATTCTGGGAGTTGGAAGTCACACACACACCCCTTAAAAGTTGATAAACAGTGCCGCAGGAGCCCACTTTTACATTGTGACTCTGCTTTCCCCATTTCGTTCAAAGAGCTCACCTTTCCTAGATAGGCCTCTGCAATCTCCTTCATTTTTGTTAGCACCATTGAGGAAATTTCTTCGGGATAAAAGCTTTTGCACTCTGCTTTGTATTCCACTTGGACTTTGGGTCTGCCGGCATCGTTCACGACTGTGAAAGGCCAATGCTTCATGTCCGACTGAACTACGGCGTCATCAAATCGGCGGCCAATCAGACGCTTGGCATCTATTCGAGATAGCGAAAATGTTATATATACTCTAGTTCAGGGGTCTGCAACCTTAAACACTCAAAGAGCCATTTGGACCCGTTTCCCACAGAAAACACCGGGAGCCACAAAACCCTTCCTGTGCCTGACTATTTCTTGAGCGGCCACAAAACTAGCATATGTAGTAGAATTAAACATTCTGTTTTCTTCCGAAACTTTTCTTTTCTTGGATTTATCCATGGTTGGCCTCTACTGGGGGTTGAAAAGCTCAATAAATTGCGTGCCAGCAGGTGTCACACATTGGAGGTTGGGATGCATATTTTGAGTGACAGGGAGCCGCAGCAGAGGGGTGAAAGAGCCACATGCGGCTCCAGAGCCACAAGTTGCTGACCCCCTGCTCTAGTTAATTTAAACTGCTCCTTAATCTCTTTATTTAAAATGTGTGCAAATTAAAACACAGCTTGAACTGCACCTCTTAAAAATCAAGCCAAGGTTGCAGTTTTGTGGTTTTATAATTGACAAAGGCAGGGAAACAATATTCCATTTTCAAAACCTTATTATGTTCACAGAGGCCCTGAAGAATTATAAGAGGCGTGGTGGTGCAGTGGTTAAGAGTGCAGTACCGCAGGCTACTTCTGCTGACTGCCAGCAGTTTTGAGAGTTTGACTCATCCTTTAATCTTGTGAGGTAGGTAAAAACAAGGAGCCAGATTGTTGGGAGGCAATATGCTGACTTTATAAGCCGCTTAGAGGGCTGTAAGGCACTGTAAAGCGGTATATAAGTCTTAAGTGCTACTGCCCTTCCTTCCTTGGTGTGCTCTGGTTAGACTGCAATATTGCAGGCTAACTCTGCCGACTGCCAGCAGTTCAACTCTGACTAGCTCAAGGTTAATTCAGCTCCCACTGCTTCAGCTACCAGAAATCTGATTACCACTTTTGGCGATCAAATATTAGAATGGTGTCAGAGCAGTGAACATTGATCACTGTTAATTATCTATATGAGGGGTTCCCCTGGTGGTGGTGTGAGACGATATTCCATGGGGTGCAAAAACTTGGGGTTTAGAAGTTTCAAAATTATTGTGTATATGCATAATTATATGCATATAATTTTTTACTTCTACATGGGGTGCGACAATATATCAGAAGTGTTCTAAAGGTGTGGGGTATAGAAAAGGTCGGGAGCCCCTGATCTATATTGATTGTTGCATAGAGCAATGAAAGCTGAAGGGTTGTTGGGCAGCATGTTTATAGGTACAAAGGCACCCTCCCCCTTTCCCTTAAACGCTGCCCTTTTCCCACAAGGTAACCCTTTTTTGAAGACCTGTCTCCTTACCGAAGACTGTGTTCGTGGGATTCATTGCCACTTGATTCTTTGCGGCATCACCGATCAGCCTCTCGGTATCTGTGAACGCCACATAGCTTGGCGTAGTCCTGTTACCCTGGTCATTGGCGATGATTTCCACCTTGCCATGTTGGAAGACCCCAACACAGGAATAGGTGGTGCCCAGATCAATCCCGACGGATGGTCCCTTAGACATGGTGAACTGCAAAGGTTAAAAACAAATATCAGTCATTCACTGACAAGAGAACCAGGCCCTCTTGTTCCACGCAGCGTTGTTCAACCTGGGCACCTAGAAGAGGTCAAGAGACTTTGAAACTCCTAGAATTCCCAGGCAGCAATTCAACCCGTTAAGCCAAATCTTTGTACTTTTTAAAAGATGTCTGGACTTCAATTCCTAGTATTTCCCCAATAAACATGGGTGGAAAATTCTGCTGAGTTGCAGTCCAAGACCTCTAAAAAGGTGCAGATGTTTGGTTGAAACCATCTTGACTAGAGCCACTCTTTGAACAAAGTTGAAAATGCTTCAATTTTTTTAATATAAAAAAACTTTAATTTTATGTAATTTATCCGTAAATTAAATTACATTTTATGTAATTTATCTGTTATGTAATTTATCGGAGTATACAAAGCAACTGTACTGAATTCTACTATATAGTGCAATATTAATCCAATATCAGGGGTTTTCAATTCAATTGCAAAGAACGTGCGTTTTTAAAAATAATTATAATGCACATTGAAGATGGCATTTAATTTCATTGTATGATGTGCAATGACAAGAAAGTAAAACTAAACTCATCTAACACACACACACCCACACACACACTTTTGCCATCTTGCAAAGTAGGCAAATTATATATATTATATATGAAATTGCTCCCCGTTTGGATCAGCTGCTCCAGGGAGGGTTGGATATATATGTAAGTAAATGTATACCGTTTCCCCCCAAATAAGACATTATTCCCTGATAACAAACCCAATCAGGCTTTTGAGCACATGGCAATAAGGTTAAGGCGCTTATTTCAGGGTTCAAAAAAATATAGGACAGGGTCTTATTTTGGGGAAACACTTTGTGTGTGTGTGTGTATAAATATATATATACACACACACACACATATATACCACAGGATGTATATATACATACATATATTAAGTGTTATATATATACGTATATAGTTTTTGTCGAAGCACCTGGTCTACCCCAATATGGGAGGGAGCATACTGCATCCCTTTCATTTTTCAGCTCCAATCCAGGAGCCCTCAAGCAGTTGCATTCACTACAAACCATTTTATACCAAATTTATATTTGCTGATAAATATAGGGAGACTAGTATAGATCTATTTCAAGCTATTTAGCTCTCATCAGCTAGCCATACCCAAGTTCGAATCCGAGTTAAGAAATAAGATCTATACCAGTTTCCCTTTATTTATCAGCAAAATATAAATTTGACACACTTATGTATGTATATGTATATGTATATATTTTCTTACTTCTTTGTAGGGTTTATGTGTTTTTCTTCTAGCCGGGTTTTCCCTACGTACGTCTAAAAGAAAAAAGCCCAGAATCGAGTGGATGTGATTCTACTGAGCTGGAGCTGCAGAAAAACCTTGGTTACCTAGGGAAAACCTGGCTAGAAGAAAAACACACATAAACCCTACGAAGAATATATATCTATATATATATATCTATATATCTATCTATATCTATATCTATATCTGTCTATATCTGTCTATATCTGTCTATATCTATCTATCTATCTAATTATATATATATATATATATATATATAATCCCAAAAGCAGCTCATCCAAAACAGGGAAGCCATTTCATAACCTTGGAGAACAGTCAATAATTCCATTTATTTCCCGCCCTCCCCCCTCCCGTTCTGCAGCTTCCCCCTTCCTGAATGGAGTTCGTTTCATTCATTCAGCCCTGCGGTGGGAGCGACCACGTGGCGTCGCCCCTGGAGGGCAGGCCCGTGGAACGGGGGGGCGGGGCTTAGGCCGAACCACGTGCTGCGCGGCCCGGGGACCGGAAGAGCGCGCTGCTGAGCACGTGCCAGCAAAGAGAGCAAGCAGCTGGCAGACCCGGTTTTTTTTTTTTTCCCTTTCTCTCTCTCTCTCCTTCTCCCGCCTCCGCGAATGGAGAAGGAGAGCCGGGAGCTGCTGCTATTGCTGCTCCGTCTCCTCTCCCGACTCGAAAGCAGAGCAGGACCCGGGTTTAAAGCAGCCGGGGGAAGAAGGTCGTTGAGCAAAGCCGCCCCCCCCAGCCCCAATTTCCTTCCCCCCCTTTCTAAACCTGCTTTTTTTCCTCCTTTACAGCCGCATCTCTTTAATGCCTATGGAAAGCATTAAAAAAAAAAAGGGGGGGGGAGAAGAGAAATAGCAAAGGCTCCTTTTATGCTTCGTTTAACGTCCAATTCCAAGCTTCCCAAGGGCGGGTGGCGACGAGAAGCAGCCTTCCCTCCCCTCGAGAGAAAGGGAGGATTTGTAGGTCGGGATTCAATGGGAGAGGGGGGAAAAAAAAGCAGCTTGGCGGGTTTTTCTTGCAGACGTTGCGTTGCCCAACTGGGTGACATCATCAGGGCAAGGAAAGAGGGGGGTGGAGTTTGCGGAGTGAAGGGGGGGAGAATAAGGATTATAGGGGTCATTGGTGCTCTCTGAAGTTTGGGGGGGGGGGTTTCTCGCAGGCGTTTTGTTACCCAATTCGGTGACATCATCAGGGCTAGGAAGGGGGGTTGGGTGGAGCTTGGAAAGGGGGGGGAAGAAAAAGGACTCTGGAATAAGGATTATGGACTCCTTGGTGCCTCCTGAGCGTGGGTTTTTTTGTCCCCCCACCCCCTCTCTTCGCAGGCCCAACTAAGTGGCCTTATCAGTGCTAGAAGGAACGAGCCTTTGCTCGGTGTTATATTAGTGGGTATTTCATGAACAAAAAACCCCACATCTCCCTGACCAGGTAACCTAACTGGGTCACGAAACGTCTGCAAGAAGAAAAAAAAAGAGCATCCCAAGAAGCCTTCAAAACAGGGAGGGCTTGAAAACAACCCCCCCCTCTAATCCAGGCGAAAAAGGAGAATGGTTAATCGCCTTAAGCGCCCATCCGCTTCCATCCCATCCTCGAGGTCGGTGGGGAAGGGGGAAGAAGAGGCATATTTCCAACACCTTTGGGGGGGGGGGCAAATGGTTTTTCAAAGGGGGGGGGGTTAAGAACAGCCGCCCCCCCTTTTTTTTTAAAAAAAGGGGGGGGGGGCTGAAAAGCAGACCTGCAATGCAAAAAACCCTGTTTTTGCAAAGCGGGACCCCCCCCCTTTTTTCCCAGCAACCTGCGGGGAGGAGGTTTCAGACAAAGGCTCAGCCAAGGAAGAAGTAAGGGAGGGAGGAAGAGGAGGGTGCCAAGGCCGGGAAAAATTGCAGGTCACCTTGAGAAAACAGCGCAGGAGGAGGAGGAGGAGAAGGAAAAAAATAATTCGCCTTCCCCAATAAATGCATCTCTCTCTGTCTGCAATGCACCCCGTATAGAACCCAGCATCCCCCAATTCGCTTATTTAGCAAAAGGGGGGAAAAAAAATAAAACCCAGCAAAAAAATTTTTTAAAAAATAAAATTTTAACTTAATTTTAATTTAAGAACCCCAAAAGCAGCTTTTCAGCTTTTCCTTTTTTTCCCCCCCCAAGCCTGCAAGAAAAAAAAAAAAGATGTAATAATTACCTGTTTCGCCCGTGCGCGGACCAAGCGATGCAAAAGGTGCCACGAGACCGGCCAGAGTAAGAAAGCGGCTTTCCCGGGCCGGCCCCGGTCCTTATATACCTCTGGAGAACCTTCCAGAAGAGTTACGCCTCTTTCCGGCCGGCCAGCCAATCCCGTAATCCCGCAAGCCGGCCTTTGGCCAATAGCCGCCGCCTTTGCCCGTTGACGTAACAAAGGCGCGGGGGGGGGGCGGTGAAAAGAGGGCGGGCCAGGGAGGCGCGTGAGTCAAGGAGAGCCGGCCGGCTTTTTCCTTCTTTCTTCCTCTTTCCTTTTTTCTAGAACGTTCATCCCTCCCAGGAGGGAGGGATGGGAGGCGGTCTCGAACTCGATGACGTCTCCGGGAGCCAATGACTTTCCCTCACGGCGCGCTTTATTTGCATGAACAGGCGAGACAAAGGGAATGAGAGAGAGAGAGAGAGAGAGGAAGGGGGGGGGGACATTCGACGCCTCGGATTGCTCTTCCCTTTGTGTTCCGAGAGGGAGCCAATCGCTTCCCAGGGTAGCGTTCCACGATTTGCATACTTTGCCCGAAGGGCGGGGGTGGGCAGCGAGAGCGTCCCCACCCCCACTTTGGAGAAAGGGAAAGGCAGGCAGGCGGGCGGGGGTGGAAGGGAGGGAACAGAACGTTCCGTGTTGGCGCTGTGGGGGAAACGATGAAGAGACAAAAGGAGCCAATTCGAACGCCGCGTGGGTCGACCCGAGGCGCCGCTCGGCCAATCAGGGCGCGGGGTGAACCGGCGCGCGGGCGCGGGAAGGCGGTGGGCGTGGCCAGTCAAAAACCGTCTCCTTGGAGGAGATCCTGAGGAGAAAAAAAAAACCGCTGGACAAAATGGCGGCCGGGTGAGGTTCGTGCGGTTGCTGCAGGGCGTTGGCGAAAGGCCACGGCTGAGGGTGAGCGGAGGACGCGAGCCGAAGCGGCTCGACGAAAGAAACCCTTGGGGAGCGAAGCCGCGAAACGCCTCGTCTCCGCTCGCCTTCATACTGGACTACAGCCCCCATCATCCCCGGCAGCGAAAAAAAAAAGGGGGGCCGAGATGTGGGGGAGCTAACCCAGAAAAGCCCAGTTGCCTCTTGAAAAAGCACCTCTGGGGTTAAACTCGCCGGGTTGTCAAAACCCCCCCACCCGTAGCTTTAAAGCGAGGAGAGGGAGGCACTCTGCTCATGCTCAAGGGCCCTCTTGCCCTGAGAGGCGTTTTTATGGAAGCCACGATCGCCTTGACTGGCAGGGAAAAGAGTTGCTTGCGCAATCGATCTCCTTCCCTCAAATCTGCCGAGGTGACGCGCTGCCATGTGGCCTCTCCTGACCCCGAAAGGATTTTCCTCCTCTTTAATCCGAATAGGTGGTGATTGGCTATAAACTAGTCCAAGAAGCAAAGGCAGATTTCCTTCTTTTTTTCTTCTTCTTTTAAAGCCAAGGATTTGCAGAGAGACGGAAAAATGGGGAGGGGGGCCATGCTTCCTTCCCACCCTCCCAAGTGGGCAAAGAAAGACTGGCTTTCAACCCAAAAAACAGACTACATCATACTGAAAATACAACATCCCCTGATAATAAGCCCAGTTGGGCTTTTGAGCGCATGCACTAAAATAAACCTCCCCCCCCCCCAAAATAAACCCTCCCCGAAAATATTTAAAATGCAGAGCTGGAAATCAGATAAGACGGCAAGAGGGACCCCATCTTGCTCCATGCACCCCAAAATAATAAGGCCTCCCTGAAAATAAGGCCAAGTGCTTATTTCGGGGTTCAAAAAAATATAAGGGTCTTCTTTTCGGAGAAACACGGTAGTTGGTCATTCAGAAATATTGTTCAGTCAGCCCCTTTTCTGGATTTATCCAAGATGCTGATCCTTGCATTTTTAATATTAACATTAAATATTGTTGAACATGTTCAACTCGCCTTGAAATAATAATAATAATAAATAAACTGGTCGGAGGAGTTTAATCTTTGGGTTTAGCCGAACTGCAAGTTTGGCAGCCTTTATTTTAAAAACAATGAAGTCTTCAAATGGTGGAATCAGGACAGTTTAAAATAAATATTTACTCCCTTTTGCTTTGCTTATGCTGAGCACAAATCATGGATGGCGGCAGACAAGAAGGTGTTCTCAGTTTTACCAGTTCAAAAAAAAATAAAAACAAAAAGTAGGAATTTGTACAACAGTAATACATAGTACTACATAGTGAATGGCATACAAGGTAACAATGTTTTAAAGAATATTTTACAAAATAACAATTGGCTGTTCAGAGTATAGTGTTTCCCTTGTGAGATACTATTTAAGGTCATGAATTTGAAGCCATTGTGCTTAAATATTCCCTTTTGCAGTGAAATCCTAGTGATGTGACATATTGTTTTTTTTCTTCCCTTCTTAATATCAGAGAAATTCCCTTACATTAGATTTAGCTTATAATGTCATTTATTTTCTTCAGTGGTAGAATTCAGATGGTTTGGAGAGTTTGGCTGGTGAATATAAACAGGAGGTTCAAAACATCTGGGTATATAATAACTTGACGATCATGTTTTAGAGTTTAGAGGGATTGCCAATATAGTGTCTACTGTGTTTCCACATAAATAAGATCCCGTTTTACATTTTTTTGAACCCTGAAATAAGCGCTTGGCCTTATTGTCATGCGCTCAAAAGCCCAATTGGGCTTATTATCAGGGGATGTCTTATTTTGGGGGGAAACAGGGTAATTGTCCAACTGTGCCCTAAGACAGGTCACTCTTCACACCTCCCATGAATTGCTCTTTTTGGAATAGTAAACATTTTAAAGACTTGTAAAACAAAAAAATCAACACTTGGGTATTTGGGAGGCCTAGCTGCTACTGTTTCATTTTCTGTATCCCCATGGATAAAGTACAGTTTAAGGAAAGAAAAGATTGGATAGGTAGATGGCCACAGATTTATCAGGAAAAAGGAAACAGAGGCTGCTGCAGGGTAAGCTTTCAAAACTGACTGACCTAAGAAGAAGGGAGTGGGTTAGGAAAGTAAATGAAATGTGGATAATTTAAAGGAGCTATAATAAGGGTAGAGTAGGTGGTTTTAGAAGAAAACACAAACCAGGGAGTTGAAAAAAACAAACAAAAATAACACTGATGGGGTGGAGAGGTGCTTAATTGGTGAATGGGGTGCATGCATATATTTTTGTTGGTTTAAAAGGCAGAACTTTCAGAATTTTTTAATCATTTTTGTTTGTATGAATTTATAGAATGGGTTGTTTGAGTTTTGTTGCATTTTACTACCGTTGAGCATAGTTTTTGTGCTAATGGTTGAGGTGGCATTGGGAGTAACTCATTTTTGAATTTGGTATATATTTGCATGTGATTTAGGAAAACATTTTTCACTTCCTGTGCAGTGGATGTTTATTAAAGTAGAAAACTAATAGAGTGTGTATTGCCAATTTATCTTTCAGGGAACATATACTAAATTTTCCATATACTAAATTTTGTGATTCCCCATTCTTTCTAATGGGGATTTTGTCATGGTGCCAGCCACTTTTTCAGAAATAACAGTGCCTATAGCCCCCTCCCTTCCCACAAGAGTTAAGACAGGTCTGCTCTATTTTGTAGCAAATCGTCCTAACTATTTGATTTCTATACCTCGTTCACTAAGCATCAATTTTAAAATAAAGATTTAAATAGCTTTTTAATTCAAAAGGCTTGGGATAACTATCATGATTTGATAACCTGCATTATACTGAGCTTTGGTATAAATAAAATAATGAAATAGTTCATCTGCCTTTGGATTTTACTTTCTTCCTGTTGAGTTCTGCGTTATGGGACTTGATGATAGGTTGTAAGCCGAATTGCTTTTTTAAATATTCAGTTAAGGTCTATGAAGGGATAAACTAGCTTGGTTGAGAGGGATGAAATAATCCTAACATTCTAAGCCTGGCATGTCTGGTTCTTCTGAATGAACATATATAAGACTCAGCTGAGGAATTCATGCAATGCTGACTTTAATCATAGTTGAATGTGCTTCAAGATACTCCAGAAATGTTGTTATGGAGACTTCTAAATTAAGTGTGTCTGTTGTATAGCTGGAAACCTGCTTCTTATTTCTTGTGAAAATAGCTTTCTGTCACAGCCTTATAAGATCTGTAATACTGACTGCCCTGTATTAGCAACACACATCCTACTTTTGAATCCTAAGTCACCATTTATACATTTCTCTTATAATATATGAGTCTAGTGGTTCTCTTATTTCCTTCTTGATGACTGTGTTTAAGAATGTGATGGAAATAATCCCCCTGGAATAATATCAGTTTAAAACTCATCATCTTTGCAATCTAGTTGGCACTTGAAGTCAAACAACTTGCATTTTCTTATCGTTAAAGCTGGGTGATACTAGTTCTGTCCATAGATGAGACTTTCCACTTTGGAGAGATGAAAGCGTTCTTAACACCAGTGCTGAAATCTACATTTCCAGCTCATTTCCATTCTTTATATCTCCTTTAAATTTTGCAGTTAGTTTTACAAGTTTGACTACGCTGTATCCATCCAAATGATCACATTTTCTAGATTATTACCTCAAAATGTTTACTAATCATGACATTGTATTCTGACCAAAAATGCTCCCCCCCCCCAGAAACCCTTTGGCACTACTCATCCTAAAAATGAATGTCACTATGTCCAGCATAGAGAACAGTATTTTAAAAACACCATTTTTAAAAACTTGTAAATGGAATTCAGGATTTGATGCTGATCTCACATTCTAATGATCCATTAGGATATAATTCCCTTTAGTGGAATTGCTTATTATTTATGAATATATACATACATACAAATACATTAGCTTGGTCACAGTGGGCTAATGTCTATATTCTTTAGCCGTATTCAGTCATACGTACCTTCTTAAATTAATGCACTTCCATGTTCACAGAAATTCCCACCAGTAAAGAAGACCAATTAAAGTCTAATATTGCTTCTCACTTTTCCCCAAAGTTACTGTTTTCTGCTTCATTGGTGGTGATGTGTCCAAATATTATCAATATTGTTAATTCAAGAAAAGGACACATGCAAAGTCCTGTCAGTTTTCTCTTGAAGCTGATCAGACTTAACATTAGCAGTGAAAAACATAGGTCACAATCGAGAAGACAATTGTATATGTATGCATTTAATTTTCCCTTAAGAATTCTGCTGGAACATCTCTATTCCACAGTTGTCTTTTTTTTTTTTTAGCAAATTGGTCCAAAACTGCAAAATGCTATTCCTGTTGTGTCAGCATTCCCTTTTCTCCTTCCAAGCTTTAATCGCAAAAATTAAAAAAAAAAATCTTAAAAAAATAGAAATAATTCTTTTTACGAGTTCTCTTTTCCCAAGTGTGCTTGTACCTCAAAACAGAAAGATAAAAAAATACTGAGGGTTTTTGTTCTTTGTGTGTATGTGCATGACTATAGAAAACCAACGTTGCATTGGAAAATAAAATAATTGCATAATGCTGGCAGTGCATGTAATTTATGGATATAGGTGGGAGCCCAAATAGACGGAACAGTAATCAAACGGTTTGGAAAGCTCGACTTTGAGCAGGCATCATTGTAGGGGTTGCTTCCGTTTTGATCAAACTGGTGTAGTTACTTCTCTTTGGCTCAATTTTCCTGCCATTCATCTCAAGGTGGCTGTGCTGCGTCGGTGTTAGGTGTGGAGTAGCTTCTGTTGACAGGGTTTGCTGGCTGCGAGAGGCACTGTTTTCTGTGGATCTTGTCGAGGAAGAACCAGAATGTGAGCTTCTGGAGCCCAAAGAGGAAGAGCCCGGCTTGACTAATCGGGCCTTGGGTGCCTCTGCGTCTTCCCTGGGATTAAAAGAGAGCAAAAACGATTGAAAACCTGAGTAATAAAGGACCAGTAACAGTCATACAACAGTGTGTTTTGAGTTTTAGCAAATCTTTGGGGCTACCTGCCAGCAGTCTTGCCCAGGAGTCAGCAACCTGCAGCTCTGGAGCCGCATGTGGCTCTTTCATCCCTCTGCTGCAGCTCCGGTCGCCGGTCGGCTCCAGGACAGGTAGAGGAAAAAGGACGCCTCGCTAGGAGGAGACTCTATGGTGGGGGAACCGGACTTCCAGTCGGCTCCAAAATTGAAGGGGGGACTTCTGGTTAGGACCTTTGCGGCTCTTTGAGTGTTTAAGGTTGCCGATCCCTGGTCTAGCCTTATTTACTTGTAGATAGCTTTTCTAAGCCAAGACCGGTGAAAATTGCTATATTTTCTCAGCTGTTCCTGTTGACAAAATACTTTTCACCCATCATGGTTAAAACAAGTAGCGTGTTTTTTTTTTTTTTTTAATAATTTTCTCCGCAGTGCTGTTAACATTATTTTTGTTGGTTATACAAGCCGGATGTTTGGAGTCGAATTGGCATTGTTTTTATTATTGTTATTATTAAACTGTTGAGCAGAACTATTTGCTGTATAGTAAAAGCAACTTGTAATAATGGTAGTATTATTTTGAAAGCTTCAGGGAGACAAAGCATTTGAACCTCTTTTTTTTATTCATGACGGAGGAACAAGAAATAATACTCAAGAGGCACTGACTGAAATAAAGCATTCCCTGGCAAGTGACCTAATTGTTGTTAATTTTGTGATCTTAATGTGTGCATATCTCCCTTAAAAATCAAGCACCAAAACGAACGGAAATGAACAATGAAAACAATACAATGAATCTTTGGAAAGGTGGATTAATTATAACAATGTAACTGAAAAGTTATTCATTCCTCCCCTAGACTTTGTTTGTATCTGCCCAAGGGAGTCTACCTCACAGTTTGAGAAACCCTGTTCTAGGTAGATTGGAGAGAACTCTTCCTAACCACTCCTTCGTGATATAAAAAGCTCTCTCTCAGCTGATAGTATTTTTTTTTAATAAAATCATGATCAAAGCACATTAGACTGAGAAGTAGAAATCTTGTGAATAAATTATAGTCAGAAATAAGTTTCTGGATTTGAATAGGAATGCTCCTGACCTTTGGTCAGAGCTCTAAGAGTCTTAAAAGACATTTATTTCAGTTTCCTGATTGTTTCCAGGAATGTCTTGCTATCCTTTACTTTTCTGTAGTCCTGGTTCTCCCAGTAATTGATCACTGGGCTTAGCTGGATTTTCCCAGACATGTTAGTTAGGCTAAAATCATTTGACTAATTTATAGATTAATGACTTGTAGGAACCTAGACATTGAAATTACTTTATGATTCCTTGCTTTGTGTGAATCTGGCAGTTGGATTAATTCACCAAATCATAATTTAGTCCTGGGCCAATGTACAAATAGAACTGTTGACTCTCAGACTTTAAACCCTGCATTTAGAAATGGATTCTCTTTCCAGACACTCTGACTGAATTCTGGGAGTGAATTTCAGAGGGACTGCTGTATGTGACCTACATAATTGCCCTGTTTCTGACTCAACCGAGATTCACACCTACACAGAACATCATCTACCTTTTACACAGTATTCATCCTTCCAAGGCAATGGGTTGTTGGATCAGAGTAAAAATCCAAGTATTGTTTAGAATTCTATTTCCATAAACAGTTGCAAGTTCACCTAAAATTGATGTCAGCAGAAGTGTTCAGGCTGGTTGCTACCAAAAAACGTGTTGATACTTTTATCTTTTATGGATTTGTCTTAATTTTTAAAAACTTGTCCATCTACTTCAGGATGCAGTTTGAATAAATTTTTAATCCAAATTCAAAATTCATTGCTTTTTCCCTGGTTCTTGGATTTCCCTCAAGTATGATAGGTTTTTTTCCCCTTGTGTTTTCCTTTGTTAAACATGAAAAATGAACTGTGCCGTTTTGTGGCATCCTCTACTTTGAATGCCAATTAATTTATAACCCTTTTATGTGGCTTTCAGTAACTAGCAGTGAAATAAAAAGAAGAAAAAAAATCCAGATATTGAAGTTGCGCAAAGGATGAGCAAAAAAAAAAAGTAGGCAAGGAGGTGGGGGCAGGGAAGAGGTAAGTTCCATGCAATAAAAAAAAAAAAAAACCTTTATAGAGATGTTGATTTTAGGAAAATCAGTTTAGGTAAATCAAGGATTTACCGAGGATCTTTAATGATTGCTCAAAAACTACAGAGGTCAGCATGATTGGATTGCAACAGTAAAGGAATATAAACGAGGGAATTGTAATTCAAATAGGATTAAACTGCAGGATTCCTTTGAGTCATAAGGGTGTTGCCAGTTGAGTCATACTTTTGAAAACTTCCCGTAAATGCCCCACAAAGAAAGTTCAAGAAACATCTAGTAAGAAGTGCTATGATAAGAGTAGATTCAACACAGAATATTGTCATTTTACAGAAAACAAGTTATGAAAAGTGTGTGGACCCTCCCATATATGCTGATCACTAAACAGTTCAAAACACGAAAGGAAATCCTCATTCCATTTTTGAAAATGTAAATTTGCTTTAAGTAGAAGATCAAGAGCTGTTTCAGAGGGAGGAAAATAGCCTTAGTTTCTTCAAAGGACATTGCAGTTGTAATCCAGGAAAAGAAATGGTATAGTAAATGTGTTAAATCACACTAGGAGATTCCCCACAACTCAGTTTCACGTCATGTGGTTTCAGAAAGATGTTTTGGAACCCTACTGCGTGATCTCCTTTAAAACTGAATGTTGGTGATTGATTTTGGAATTGCATATAAAAAATTCCCTTTATCGCTGACTTATATGCTCCACTCCAGTTCTGAGGCTGTTCTATAATAAAATTAAGAGGCATTGCAACTTTTGAATGCTTAAAAGAGTGGGTATTTTTTACAGAAGCAATTACCTGATTTCATTTGGAGTCTCTTCTTCGTATTTATTTTTTTCTTTCCTTTTGATAGTTCGCCACACAGCCAAGACAACCAGCAAGGATACTCCCATCATGCCACAGATTGCTCCGGCAACGATGCCGACATTTGGGGGATCTGTCGATTTAGAAACAAATGCTAGGTTTTATTTGTTCTACAGCCAAATACTGTTCTTGTCATTCTGGCATCTGTCGCACAGACATTTTCAATTCCTTTCTTTTATCTCAAAAAGGGATTGTGTATATTCTCATTGTTTTATGCCACAGGAGGTACAGCCCTGGGCAACTTTGGCTGACCTTGAAAAAAGATAAAACAAATTGGACCTGATTTGTGATTGAGGCAAGAGATCAACAGGAAGTCCCCAGAAGTTTCCACACTACTTTGGAAAGTTGCAAAATTACTCTGGAAGAAGTTGAAAACAAATAACTTCTGTAGAGATAGCAAGAAAACAACATGGTCATGTTTGAGTTGTCCCCAGGAAACAAGCTCAATTCAAGGAAGACTTCATTTTCCATGGTTAAACTGAATAAAATTGTAACACAGGTTAAACTGAATTAACTCTACCCTGGAGCAGTGGGCTGGTTGTTTTCTTCTCCATTTTTCCTCAGCCAACACATCTCAGATTATGCAAATGGTCATAGTTTTATCACTTCAGATATTCAACAGTGGCGTAATCCACCTTGTTGCCTACAGAGCATTAATTGCCCTAAATGCACTCCTTGTTGCCTCAGCTTTCTTTTGCATTGCATATTTCACATACCTGACTTCTAAAGCTTCAATTTAAAATGTTAAATGTTTTGGTCTTCGCATTATTTTGCACATTAGACTTTTCGTTTGTTAAAACTTAAGTTCCGGTGTTGAATACGAGGAAGTTCCAGTTGAAGGAAGAAGCACGCCCTTCCTACCCAGTCCTTTTAGGTCCCTGACAAACATGGCATCCTTCTGGACTGCATATTGGGATTTAGAGTAGGAGGCTGTTTCTAAGGTTGTGTCGGTCTTTTTTAAACCAGCAGTTCCAGTTGATACTCGTGGGAAAAAGCTCTTAAATCCCACAGGGCCAGCTACCATCCCTGTGTTATTTAACATCTACATGAAATTTTCCGGAGAGGTTTTGAATAAGGTGGGGTGGTGAACTTTGATTAATATTCTGAGAATGCTCAGGTATGCATCCCTACTTGGAACACAGCCAGAGATGCTCCACAGGTCTCAATCCAGTATTTTAAGTCCTGGATGGGACGAAAGAGGCTCAGATTGAATCCTTGCGAGGCGGTTTTATCGATTGCCCAGGAATGTTTTGCTGCAATTTGATCGTAGTAATTGCTTTCCATGAGGTCACTTTCTCTTCAAAATAACATCTCCCTCATGTAAGGGTTCTTTTCAGCTCACAGCTCTGATGTATGCTGGGGATGGCATGCCTTTTCCCAGTTTAAATTGGTGCACCAGTTGCTGCCCTTTCTAAATCCAGGAGCCCTGGTGACAATGACTCGTGTTACATCACTACCCATTTCGATTATTCAATCATGTTGTACCGAGAACTGGGACAGTCCTAGAAGAAAAGGAAACCAATTTCCTTGGAAGACTAGAACTGCGAGAGGTCCTTGGTGCTCTCTGAGCTTCCTTTGGTTTTCTTTCAGACGTTTCATTGCCCTAACTAGGTAACATTATCAGTGCTAGTGACTAGCCTGGATGATGTTACCTAGTTAGGGTAATGTAACGTCTGCAAAAAACCCAAAGTATCTATCAAGGACCCCTCATGTCAACCCTGAGCTACAGATATTCTCCTTTATTGGGACTAGAACTATACTTTACAGGTAGACCTTGACTTGCACCAGTTCTTTTAGTGACCGTTCAAAGTTACAATGGCACTGAAAAATGTGACTTACGTATGTTTTTCACAGTTATGATGATCTCCTTTTGTGACCTTTTGGCAAGCAAAGTCAACAGGGAAGCCAGATTCGCTTAACAACCGTGTTGCTAATTTATCAACTGCAGTGATTCACTTAGCATGAGTGGTGCAGTGGCCTTGAGGTGGAGCTCTTGCTTCACAATCAGGAAGCTGTGAGTTCGATCCTGGGTAGCGGCAGTGCCTTTCCCTCCCTCCTTCTTGGGGAGCTCAGGGAGTTTTTCCTGAATACTTTCCCGGAATGCTTCCATTCTTTTGATTTCTGTAATGGTTCCTGAATATTTGCTTCAAGGCCACTTCCTTGCCTCTCTGCAGGTTTCTGCAGAAGCGAGTTTGCTACCAGGGGAAGATACCATTGTAGCAGAATACATATATTCTGATTCCTGCACTGATTCAGATGAACGGAGTTGGACCTTGTAGCAGGGGTGAAATCCAGCAGGTTCTAACAGGTTCTAGAGAACCGGTAGCGGAAATTTTAAGTAGTTTGAAGAACCGGCAAATACCACCTGTGGCTGGCCCCAGAGTGGGGTGGGAATGGAGATTTTGCAGTATCCCCTGCCATACCCACCAAGCCACCACTTACACCAGTGGTGAAATCCAATTTTTTTACTACCGGTTCTCTGGGCGTGGCTTGGTGGGCATAGTGTGGCTTGGTCGGCGTGGCTTGGTGGGCATGGCAGGGGAAGGATACTGCAAAATCTCCATTTCCACCCCACTATGGGGCCAGCCAGAGATGGTATTTGCTGGTTCTCCGAACTACTCAAAATTTCCGCTACCGGTTCTCCAGAACCTGCTGGATTTCACCCCTGCTCTACACCATTCCTGACAGACGGCAGTCCAGTCTCTTCTTGAAAGCTTCCGGTGATGAAGCTCCCACAACTTCCAAAGGCATCTTCTGTTCCATGGGTTGATTGTTCTCACTGTCAGAAAATTTCTCCTTATTTCCAGGTTGAATCTCTCCTTGATCAGTTTCCATCCATTCCTTGACTGGCCTTCGGGTGCTTTGATTATCAGTAGTTTCCCGAGCTCAGTTCAAATATTTCTAGATACTTTCCATACTTACGTTGCACTGTCACCTGTATGGCGCAGCTGTCCTCTCCTGCTTCATTGGAGGCAGTACACTGGTAAGATCCTGTGAACATCCGTGTGAGATTCCTCATAATAATTTGGGCGGGATTGGACAGATCTAAAATAAATGAAGGGACAAGATTCAATGACGTTTACAGCATAATGGTATCATTAAATAGAATTAATTTGCCGGCGTAATATATACAGCAATGGTTTTAAATAAGAAATAGGATAATTCACAGAGGAACGGCAGGGTGGGTTTGAACTGGCAAAACTTACTGAGACGTGTTGAGGGCGGCAAAGAGTCGAGTTTTCCCTTTGCATCTACCCGCTGCCACGTGTACATGATAGGGGCTGTGCCAGAGACAGAGTTACATTGTAAAGTGATTTCTTTTCCTTCAGACGCCACCCCTTCTTTCCAGCATTTGGGTTTTGAAGGTTTTTCTGGAAAGGAAGAAAAAACAATATCAGATTCTGTAGAGATTTTTAGACATCCAGGTCTGTCCCAAAGGTGCTTTTTTTCAGGAGGCAACTGAACTTTCTTTGTTTTTTTTTCTTCTGAAGACGTTTCGCTTCTCCATCCAAGAAGCTTCTTCAGCTCTGACTGGATAGCCGGGGGGGGGGGGGGGGGGGAGGGTTTTTTTTTCTTTGCAGACGGGGGGTCGTTTGCATCCTTTTGAAGCACTTGGAGGTTTGTCTCACTTGGAAGAGCCGAGGAGGCGCAGTGGTTAGAGTGCAGTACTGCAAGCTACTTCAGCTGACTGCTAGCTGCAGTTCGGCAGTTCAAATCTCACCAGGCTCAAGGTTGACTCAGCCTTTAACCCTTCCGAGGTGGGTAAAATGAGGACCCAGATTGTTGGAGGCAAGAGACTGACTCTGTAAACCGCTTAGAGGGGGCTGTAAAGCATTGTAAAGGGGTATATAAGTCTAAATGCTATTACTACCTTCCTTCCTTCCTTCCTTCCCTCCCTCCCTCCCTCCCTCCCTCCCTCCCTGTGGTTAGAATGCAGCATTGCAGGCTAATTCTGCCAATTGCCAAGAGTTCAATCCTGACCGGCTCGAGGTTGACTCAGCCTTCCATCCTTCCGAGGTCAGTAAAATGAGGACCCAGATTGTTGGGGGCAAAAGGCTGACTCTCTAAACTGCTTAGAGAGGGCTGTAAAAGCATATGAAGTGGTATATAAGTCTAAGTGCTATTGCTATTGCTTGTTTATCTGTGTCCTCAGGATCACCTGAGTGGTACTCCTGGTTTCTGTAGTCTGCAATTTTTTCCTCTGGAAATCCATTCCTACTCCCACACAGTTCAAAAGGTGTTCATCCCAAATGGTATAGTTTACTTATTTATAAATAAACGAGATGCAAATTGTATAGCTAAAATGTCTGTAGAGATTCTCAGTCATCCAGGTCATGGTTGTCCCAAAGGTGCTTTTTCAAGAGGCAACTGGACTTTCTTTTTTCTTTTGAAGACGTTTCGCTTCTTATTCAAGAGGTTTCTTCAGCTCTGGCCACCCAAGAAGCTTCTTGGATGAGAAGCGAAATGTCTTCAAAAGAAAAAACAAAACAAAACAAGGAAGTCCAGTTGCCTCTTTGGGACAACGATGACCTGAATGACTGAGAATCTCTACAGATATTTTAGCTATACAATTTGCATCTCGTTTATTTATAAATAAGTAAACTATACCATTTGGGTCACGAAAAAAAACCCGGGACATTCAACAGAAAAGCTAAATACTTGTTTTGAAAACATGGCGACAGTCTTACCTAGAACCTTCAGAGTGATGTGTGTCCATTCATACTGTCCAGCATTTTTAACTTTGCACGTATATTGCCCAGAGTCGCTTGGCTGCAGGAGAGAAATCTCCAAAGAAGCATCTCCATTCAGGAAATTGGAGGCGAATGAAACGCGGCCCTTTTGTTCTTTGATCATATCATGATAGATGTTGCCTCCTGCATAAGTGATCACCTAGGAGACAAAGTTACTCATCAGCTTTGCTAACTTAAGTTTGGCAAAAGGTGGTATTAAACTTATGGCAGCATTTATTTGTTCACCAGATAACCTCCCCAGCTGTGATTACTCACTTCCAGTGGTGAAATCCAATTTTTTTTACTACTGGTTCTGTTGGCGTGGCTTGGTGGGCGTGGTGTGGCTTGGTGGCCGTTGCAAGGGAAGGATACTGCAAAATCCCCATTCCCTCCCCATTCCTGGGAGAAGGATATTGCAAAATCTCCATTCCCACCCCACTCTGGAGCTAGCCTATGATGGTTTTTTGGGGGGGTGGGAAGTAGGGGACTATATTCTTAGTCCCTGGTTTTAGCATTCAATCACTTGGACAGTTTCTCATTAAAAATCATATGTGTCTCCGTGTTTAGTGAATAGCACTTTAAGTCTCCAAACTGTAATCTGGAACTGATCATAACTTGATAATGGTTTTTCTTTTGTTTGTTTAAAGGATTATCTGACACTTCATTTCACCAGCAGAGCTGCCTGTTTGGGGGAAGTTAAGTTTAACTGCTGCTTTTGCAAAGCAATTGAGAAAGAGGAAATACTTGGCTGATTTCTTCTGATTCTTTCAAAAAGCTCAGCACGCATCCATGTATCTTCTGCTATCTTTGCACTGTATGAAAAAGAAACATATCCAGTCCTTTTAATTGAGAAGATTGGAAAAGAGGTGATTTTTAAAAGATGGCTGTTGGGTACTGGAATTCCTGCTATAAGCACTCATTTGTATATTTGATGGCTTGTCATGTCTCATAATCTTGACTGTCTATCAGCCATTCTTGAATCCAGTTGAAAAAATAAATATGTTTTCAACGCTCAGATGATTGCTATGAAATCTTTAGTAAAGCCTTGTAGGAAAACCATTGTGTGATTCACATTTGTATAAGCGGCTTCCTACTTTTTGAGCTAAAAATCACAATGAAGGCAAAACAATATTATCCAGGGCTGTGCCAAAAGGAGATTTGTAGTAAATGGGGGCATAACAAGAGTTCCTTGGTTTAAAGCAGGGGTGAAATCCAGCAGGCTCTAACAGGTTCTGGAGAACCGGTAGCGGAAATTTTGAGTAGTTTGGAGAAATGGCAAATACCACCTCTGGCTGGCCCCAGAGTGGGGTGGGAATGGAGATTTTGCAATATTCTTCCCCTGAAGTGGGGTGGGAATGGAGATTTTGCAGTTATCTTCCCCCAGGAGTAGGGAGGGAATGGGGATTTTTGCAGTATCCTTCCCCTGGAGTGGAGAGGGAATGGGGATTTTGCAGTATCCTTCCCCGCCATGCCCACCAAGCCACACCTCACCCACCAAGCCACGCCCACAGAATCGGTCATAAAAAAATTTGGATTTCACCACTGGTTTAAAGAGTTATAGACAGACAATATTTAAACACCTTTTTGACTTCTGCTTGGTCCTGTGTTAATTACTCCTGATACATCAGCGTGTATAATGAAGCTATTTGCAGGGTGCGTCTGCAAGAAAGCCTGATCCCTAGTTCTACAAAGTACAAACCCACATTCTTAATTGTTGGAAGAAATATCCATCTGGTTCAGTTCCAAGTGGGGAGAAAGTCACTGGAAACATGGAGGCTGATTGGAAAGATGGTTTATTGACCTCATGGGTTTGAAATCCTGGGCAGCTGACCACATGGAGTGGAGAGTGAGGGGTATTTACCCTCTCTTGGGCCTTGCCCTTGAGCTTCCTATTCCTGTGGCAAGGGCATGTATTCTGACTGTAGTCAGACTCCCATTGTCTGAATCAAGTTTGGTTGAACCTTGGGCTGATGTAATGTCCCCAGGTGATTTCACAATGCAGTGAGCCCTGCTGCTAGATAATCCTATAATGTCCTGGAGGGTCATGTCTTAATCCTATCACCCTGGAGCTGAAGGTCTAATTGTCTTGTAGATAGGCTGACGCAGTCCTGCTGGGACTACGGTATTAGCAAAGGAGGGGGCTGCTTTCCAAGAGCAAGTTTCTCCTTTAGGGAAATATAATGTTCTGCCTTTTTAATATTTCTCAAAATATTATATTCTTCTAGGAGGCGTGGCTGCTAACTTTCTACATTCTCATACCTATAAATATTCATTCTATAAATATTGACAATCCTAGAAAATGAGCCATACAACAATAATGGCAAACTTATGGCACTCCATTGACATTGACATTGCCATCACTGATCTAGAGGCAATGTGTTTTAGTGGTCAACCTTTGCAACTTTAAAATATGTGGACTGCAACTCCCAGAATTCCTCAGCCAGCACGTGGAATCCTGGGAGTTGAAGTCCTCGTGTCTTAAAGTTGGAACACTAGGTTAGACCTACCACTTTCGGTTCAGCTTCAGAATTCTTTAGCAGCCACTCTATATCCAGACTCGCTGGCTCCAGAAGATGAAGGCGATGATGGCAGGGCAAAGTTACGTTTGCTTCGGCCACCCTTTTAAATTCGGTCTGCGCTTGTGACATCCAAGTACAACAGGAGGCTGAAAGAGAAGAAGTAAGCCAGTAAGAACTGATTTCTGATCTCATCAATATTGTTTTTCTAGTTTCCTTTCTGGTTGCAATATGGGCCAATATACCAAGAACCTTGCTTTGGCAGTGGGTGGGTGGGGGGAAGCAGTCATTTTTTTTTAAAAAAAGGCCAGTTTTAAGAATGATAGTTTATTCATTGTTGGCTTATCTTAGTTTTTTTTTTAATTAACTTCTTTTGGTCATAGCCAGCAATGTGGAGAAGTAGTAAAGAACCAGAAATTAATCAGTACTCTTTCATTTTGTTGTGTATAGTTGGCGTTGTAGGAAATCCCCCATCCCAGATTAAAATATTCTTTATTCTTAATATTAAGAGAGGCAGGATGTAATATTTCCCCAAAGGAGAAATGGAGAAACACGTTCTTAAAGGCAGAAAGCAGCCCTCACTCTTTCTTAATAGCCTCAAGTCTTTAGAGATGGAGATTTGTATCCATTCAGGAAGACTGGGCCAATCTATTCATAAACAAAACTCACAGAAGGTTGAAGGCTGATGGGATTAAAATCTACATTCCCCCACCCAAATTCTAAGGACAGGACATGACCTTTAGGACATAATAGAATTAAACCACCACCATTGAAATAGAAAAAGACACAAGGCTCACTACATTGCACAAGCCCCCTGGAGCATCTCAAACACAAAACCCCAGAAACCTATAAAGATCCATCCACTCACTCAGCCATTTTGTCAGCCACCCCAGAAACATTGCTACTGTCACTGAAGTTTCTAGAAACCAAATAAACCTCCTTTCCTTGCAGTCAGGCTCCATTTTATTTCCAGCGCTTTTCTCCCAGCTTGGAACTGGACTGGATTTTTCTTCCAACAGTGTGATTGGGATCTAATTGTTTGTAATTGTTGTTGTTTAATGAATAGTTTCACTCCTTGTTCTTCTTCTTTTTTTTTTTTGAAAACATGCATTGGGAAACGGACTAAATCCTAACTTAAAAGGCATGCTGAAAATCTCTCTTTTGGGAGGAGCATTAACAAAAACAACAATGTATATACTGCTTTACCCGATGCTCAATGATTAATGATGCATATGTGTTTTGTTTACCCAAATAAACAGTACATCCTTTGAGTGCATTAATGTAATAACGTGTTAGCAGATTTGTATTCAGATATACAGCATTTAGGGTGCAGCTCTGTCTCAAGTTTGTTTGCATTTCCAAAGCAAACACATATTACATCGATGGGGAAGGTCACAATTTTAGTCTTTAGAGTCAAGTATTCTGGAAGAATGAGAAAAATAAAATACCTGTACTTGGAATTACCTTTGAATATTGAGTTACTTTTGGATATTTCTGTCTTGATCCCAGCAATATTTATCTCCTTCTCCTTTCTTTGCTCTACAACACCCCCTCCTGGAGAAGGACTATATAACTTCTCAAGTCCTGAGTATATCTTTAGAATAGAATAGAATAACAGAGTTGGAAGGGACCTTGGAGGTCTTTTAGTCCAACTCCCTGCTTAGGCAGGAAACCCTACACCACTTCAGACAAATGGTTATCCAACATCATCTTAAAAACTTCCAGTGTTGGAGCATTCACAACTTCTGGAGGCAAGTTGTTCCACTGATGAATTGTTCTCACTGTTGGGAAATTTCTCCTTAGATCTAAGTTGCTTCTCTACTTGATTAGTTTCCACCCATTGCTTCTTGTCCTACCCTCAGGTGCTTTGGAGAATAGCTTGACTCCCTCTTCTTTGGGGCAGCCCCTGAGATATCGGAACATTGCTATCTTGTCTCCCCTTGTCCTTCTCTTCATCAAACTAGACATACCCAGTTCCAGCAACCATTCTTCATATGTTTTAGCCTCCAGTCCCCTAATCATCCTGGTTGCTCTTCTCTGCACTCTTTCTAGAGTCTCCACATCTTTTTTTTACATTGTGGCGACCAAAACTGGATGCTGTATTCCAAGTGTGGCCTTACCAAGGCATTATAAAGTGGTTATTAACACTTCACGTGATCTTGATTCTATCCCTCCGTTTATGCAGCCTAGAACTGTATTGGCTTTTTTGGTAGCTGCTGCACATAGCTGGCTCACATTTAAATGATTGTCCACTAGGACTCCAAGATCCCTCTCACGGTTCTCTCAAGCTTCAAAAGACTTCTCGCTGTTGCTTCTATTATTCGTATCTCAGCTTGCCAATGAACTGGGGGGGGGAGGGAGGGAGAGGGAGACAGAACATGGGCCAGACATCGAGATGTCGGCGTGAGAGCCAAGGACACTTTCGGGAGTGTTTACAAGAGCCAAAAAGACTTTCCCACAACAATATCCGGAGATTGGATTCGACAATGTGACCTGAGCTAATGATGGGGGTGGGGGTGGAAGAATTTGATCTTTTAATTATAGGGGTTAGTGCGGGAAAGATCTAAATCTGGTTTTGCCTTCAAACATGCCGAAGTGATGTACTCAATCAAGTTTTGCATAAAGAGGTTGGATCGTCTCGATTGTGCTTGCTTTGGTTGGGGTCGTCAGTCGGATCCTTGACAATATTACAGATTATCAGAGTTGGAAGGGACCTTGTAGGTCATCTAGTCCAACCCACCCCACTCCAGCCCAGGCAGGAGACCCTACACCATTTTTGACAAATGGCAGTCCAATCTCTTCTTGAAAGCCTCCAGTGATGAAGCTCCCACAACTTCTGAAGGCAGCTTCTGTTCCATGGGTTGATTGTTCTCACTGTCAGAAAATTTCTCCTTATTTCTAAATTGAATCTCTCCTTGATCAGTTTCCATCCATTATTCCTTGTCAGGTTGACCCCTTCCTCTCTGTGATAGCCCCTCAAATATTGGAAGATGCTATCCTGTCTCCCCTGGTCCTTCTCTTCACTAGACTAGCCATGCCCAGTTCCTGCAACCATCCAATGTATGTTTTAGCTCCCAGTCCATTAATTATCTTTGTTGCTCTTCTCTGCACTCTCTTAAGTCTCAACATTTTTTAAATAGTGTGGTGACCAAAACTGGATGCAGTATTCTAGGTGTGGTCTTACTAAGGCTTTATAGAGTGGTAATAGTATCTCCCTTGATCTTGATATCATCAAAATAAACTACTCGAGGGAAACATGGCTGCTCTTAATTCCTACTCACCAAAAGAGAAGCTTCTCTAAAAATGAATAGTATCAAGGAAGTAGCGCCTACCCAGTATACATATTTTTTTTTGTTGCTTCTATACTTAGGATTGCAATATATGCATAAAAAAGGGCTGCTTTTTAAAATTTGCTAACGTTGGTAGCTAAGCAATGCAGTCCATATTCTCCACTGATCTGAGCCTTACTTTTCCCACTGGGATTTCTTGCCTTTGAAAACAAAGCACTGTTTACATAGTTACCTCTCTCTATGAAAATGGAAATCAATAACAACATTTTTTTTTTAAAAAAAAAGACATGATGAACACAATTAGTGAGTTGCACCGCAAGAGGGCAGAATTTACTCAAAGAACAATGTCAAGCCAAGCGTTTGAACTGATGATAACTTTTGAAATTATTATTATTTTTTATTTTGGAGTTAGTTGTACATGGCTGGAAATTCTTAAATCTAAGAAGCAGACAAAAGTGTGACTTCTCCCTTTTTAAAATTCTTTCCCCGTGGCTATATGAAAAAAAATTAATGGAATGGAATAGAAGAGTCGGAAGGGACCTTGGAGGTCTTCTAGTCAACCTCCAGTGTCTGAAGACAAGTCGTTCCACCGATTCATTGCTCCAACTGTCCTACCACCGCTTCATAAATGGAGCCCGTAGGACACGGGGTGGATTTTGCACTATATTTGCACTGAAAGAATTGGCTAGACCGTTCTGTCATCTCCTCCATCCATCCTGCCTGATTCTGCACATCTGCTTTGTGTTTTCTTTGGCTCGGAGCAAAGAAGAGAGGCTAGAGGTCACCTCGTCTCAAGGGTCGCCGATGTTTTTGAACCAGGCAGGCTCGGTCCCACAAGCATGATGCCTGCAGCCATTTGCTCTTAGCCGCTCTTCCGTTTCAGGAATTTGGTGGAGAGGCAGAAGTGTCTGGGCTGAAAAGTAGTTCATGCCTGTCAGGTCCCAGTGGGACTGGCTAACAGGGCTCATAGCGAAGAGGTTGGCCAAGTCAAGCTGTAGAAATCTAGTGCTTTGGAGGCCCAGCTTGATTTGACTCTTATGTGTTCATGATAAAGCTTTTAGGAGGCTCTCTTAGATTTGGATGTGTGTGTATGTATGTGCGTGCGTGTGTGTGTTTGTGTGTGTGTGTGTCGGGGGGGGAAGGTGGTGGATTCCCCTCCTCCCCTTCTTTTGCTCTTTCAGAGGATAAGAAGCAGCTGGAATCTGTATGATGAAAGCATGAATAAAAGTCGAGTCAAACTGCAGAAGGCAAAAATAAAGCTGAATGGAGGATTTACACAGAAATGCCGCATCATCAGAAAACAAAGTCAGCCCTTTAAGAATCTGATAATTGCTGAGCTGTGCCCGAAATGTAGACGATCGTCAGAAGGTGTGTAGGTAGAAAAAATGTGTGAATTATATCCTTGTTGTAGAAAGCCCAGAAAATATAAAAAGAAAATGTGTGTGTTACGTTCATTTTTTTAAACTTTTGGTAGTACCGTTCCATGCATAGGATATCATTGCATCCTGATATTTGGTGGCTGAAATTTTGTGGCAAATTTGCCATTTTTTTAAAAAGAGAACTCTGGAAGATACATGAATTGCTACCCTTATCTCCGTCTGAAAAGTTGCCTGAAGTTGTGTTACTAAAATGCAGTCACTTTAACAGCAAAGAATTGGCTGCAGAACGTTGGGCTTTAGATAGGATAGGATAGGATAGGATAGGATAGGACAGGACAGGACAGGACAGGACAGGACAGGACAGGACAGAATAAGATAAAATAGAAAAAGATAAGATAAGGTGGAATAAGGTAAAATAGAATAAGATAAACTAGAATAAGATAGATAAGATAGATAAGATAAGCTAGAATAAGAAGATAA